ACGACTAGGAGCTAGTCTGGTCAGTAGCGTTTTTATAGGCGGTTGTTAGTGTCTTGGCCGTCTGTGAGCGTTTGGTTAGCGTTTGGTGCGTTCTGTAGAGTTTGATATAGTTCAATGAAATTTTACATAGTTTATGACCAGGAGCTAGTCTGGTCAGTAGCGTTTTTTTTGTAGGCGTTTGATGGTGCCATGGCCATCTGTTAGCGTTTGTTTAGCGTTTGGTGCGTTCTGTAGCGTTTGCAGCAGTCATATGGTCGTGAGAGCCCTGGGGCTGACATTGTCCAGCGGTATTTTTGGTTAGTACGTATGTTGTCGTCCCATGTGCTCGCAGTGTGTTCATCGCTCTGTTAGTGTGGCATTGTGGATTGAATTATAGTTTAGCGGTTCTCGGCGTTACCTCCCTACCCCTTTTACCTCCCTTTTTTTTTCACCATGCCATCTGGCTTGAGTGTGACGGGTGCCTGTAGGGGGCTTGGCGCAGGGGGCTCGTGGCTTGGTTGCGGGTTGGGCAGGCCAGTCAGGTGTTCTAGCGCCTTGGGGATGTGACTGCGGTTGCAGCCCCCCGGGCTTCGTAGGCACCTTCCCTCCACTAGCGACTTAGGCGTTAACTGGGAATATAATTATTGCCAATACATGTAACTTGCTCAACTGCACTGTCATACTGCAGCTGGAGTTTAGTTTTTAAATTTTGTACTCACCTAGAGTTGAACACCCAGTCTCTGACTGTAGAAGCAATCACTGCATATTTCTTCGTATTGGTTGGTGTTGTAAATTATTGGTCGCAGACTCCCCTTTCCCCTTTGTTGAAAATTAAACTGGAAAAATTTGAAGCTGAAGTTAACTTGGACCATAACTTGGAACTTAATATTAACTGGCCATGGTCAATTCAATTTTTTATATGATTATACTTTTTAGCTTACTGTGTTGATCCTGGAACTCCAGTGCATGGTTCTAGAAATGTTAGTAGTAGAGATGGTGGATTTCCAGATGGGACAATAGTTTCTTTTCAATGCAATGTTAACTATAAACTCAGTGGAGCTAAAAAGATTATGTGTACTGAGGGAAAATGGAGTGAGAAAAAGCTGCCCCTGTGCCTATCACGAGGTATGTGGTGTTTTTTTCTTGAACTATATGTAGGTATAAAATAGTGTAGACGTGATTTGCATTCCCAGCATCTACATGTACATTGTACCTTAAATAACTTAATACATGTAGGTTGATTATGTACAGCAACCCTGCCAACTGAACTATGTGTTGGATTTGATAGCCCTTAGAATTTTGGCAAAGGTTTTATAGTCTGTAGAGCTCTTTAAATCTGAGAATTTTGAATCCAAATGGATTTTCTGAACTTCTCTGACAGGATTTCAGTTTCAGAGCAAGCCATTTTGTGGGCATAATTAAACACAAACATAAATAACAAAAATTATTTCTCACACACATCTGGGAGCCATACAGGAAAAGATGCTCCTACATGTATGATTATATGCTGTAAAAAATGCCAATAACTACCAAACATGAAAACTCACAGCCCAGCAAGGGCTTCACAAGAATGAAGAGAGGGAACTAAATGACCTATCAAGCTAGAAGGATGGGTGGGTGGGAGGTTAGGTAAAGAGCAACAAGGAAACTGGAAAACAACGACCCACAATATGACCTGATCCCCTGCACACTAGCCCACGACTGTGTGAGAAATAACGTTTTCGCTTCTTTCGTTTCCTCAGGCAGCAGGAAACAAAACTTTTTTGCACGATGAGGGATACTTATTTTTGTTTATGAACTTGGATAATTCAGTAGATTTGAATTTGACATTGATGGTGTGAAGTGACTGAAATACTCAATTAATTGATCAAGTGATTGATCACATGATTGATTGACTGATCAATCGCTTAGCTGATTGATTGCCCAGTCGGTTGATTGATCAGTTGATTGACTGATTGATTTTTCAATGATCAATTGATTGCCTTATCATCTTTTTGCAGTCTGTATCTTGCCACCACCTACATTTGCTCATGCACATGTCAGAAGCAATCCAGTGCCGAACACCAAAGGCAGCTATGTTGAGTATGCCTGTGATTTAGGCTACGTGTCTGATCACCGCCCAACTCGCCTATTGTGTGATAAAGATCCCAAAACACTAGGATACAAATGGAGTGGCAACTTCACTTGTGAAAGTGAGTACTGTTCTATGCACCCTGATACAATAAAGTGCCTTGAGACTGGGTAATAAGCATTTAATGACTGGCCTCAAGGGAAATAGTGAATTTTGTTTCCCTGAGGCCTTCAATGTTGAATCCCCGAGGTGAGGCATTTTCCCATGCCTCCCAACTCAAAAATAGATCAAACTGTAAGTAATAACATGTCATTTCAATAGCAAAACTCAATGACAGATGTTTCTGTTACTTTACGGCCCATGTTGGTTCCCCGTGGAGGGGCACCAACATAGCGTCTCCACACAAAGCTCTATAAGTTTGGGTGAAACACTTCTCTGAAAAACGCGCGAATGAAAAACCACACAGATCTAAATCTTGACCAGGTTGTTTGTTTTCATATGTCGAAAGATTCTTAACTTAATATATTGAATGGTTACGATTGTTATTTTTGATGGTGTGACTGTGGAAATCAGCGATAATTTGTGCTGGACTGAACAATGTCAAAGTTATTAATATATACATTGCAAGTGTGGACAGACTGACAAAGTTAATGCGTCAAGGGAGTAAAATGCATTAATGTCGTGAGCATGACCTCCAGAAGTCAAAACCTACAAGACATATTTTTATTGATCAGTTAAATGAAATGCTTTAAGCCCCAGCCAAACAATTGCAACATTTGAACGCAACATATCGCAACATTGTTGGGTGCAACATGTTGTGCACGTTTGTCACACTGTTGCGATGTGTTGCGACATGTTTGGTGTTGCAAATTGAACTAGTGCGCACGCCTTGGCGAAACATTGTTGCACGAACCTGGCCAAATGAGTAAACAATAAGGAAACTTGCACAAAGGTTGCATGAAAAATTTGACCATTTTCAAACTTGAGCTAATAACACCCACTGTAGCAACATGTCACAACAGGGTGACCAAACGCACGCAACATGTTGCACCCAACAATCTTGCGATATGTTGGGTTGAAATGTTGCAATCGTTTGGCTTGGGGAGCGAGTCCGCGAGATGGTCTGCGAGCGAAACGATCCGGCAGGAAGAGTCTGGTGAAGGGCGTCAAATTAGTCTCCTCGCGACTTTGCTGCTCGCACCAGTGCTGGCTGGACTTTTAAGTGCACTGATGCTACAGGTACATTGTGTAAAAGTAGTGTTGTAATATGCCATGCATGCGCAAGGCTGTGATGCCAAAATGAAAAGTCTGGCAGACTTTTTGAAATTCTATGCCGTTCTTGTCGTGGAAAAATTGCTAAAACTAGTTGCAATTTGCTCTTCCATCAATAATTCACGGAATATCTTCACTTTGGTGTTCTAAGAGCCTTTTATGAATGACCAAAGGTAATAATTAAAATAATCATTAAAGATTATTGATATTGCACCTTTTAACATGCAATGATCAGTGGCACGTTACATCACAAATTCTGAAAATTATATCAAATTTTTAAAAGCTAGTTTAAGAAGGTATGGTTTGCATTAGGATTTAAACTGTTGATCTATGTTTGATTTCCTCAACGAGATGGGTAAGGCATTCTACAATGTGGGAACAGCAACAGAAAAAGATCTGTCTCGAAAAGATGTCGACATCTTCCCACGAGGGAAATCAAGAAGTAGTCTATCAATTGATTGCAGCTGATAGATGGATTGTTTCCTAACTGAAATGAAATCACTGTGGGTGACTGACCAAGCAAAGATTTAAAACGATTAAAAGTATTTTAAAAGAAATAAGAAATCTCACTGGCAGCCATTGAAGTTCATGGCTGAACTTAGATGAAAATATAACAAGTCTAGCTGCAGCGTTCTGGACTCTTTACAACTTAGAAATCTCAGTGTTTGGAAGTCCGTGCAGTAGACTGTTACTATAATCCAGCTGGCTTGTTATAAAAGTATGCACCAAAATTAGGTGACTTTTCTGGGCTAAATACCTCCGGATATGTCAGATATTAGTGCCATTTTTTACTGCTTGCTAGTATAGTGCACAGTGTATGTGGACTTGATAACAGTGGTGTTCTGACTGTAGCTTTCTGTTTTGTTTTAAACAGAAGTCAGGTGTAGCCCTCCTCCACCTCTAAGTACAGGGCATGGAAATGTTAACATTTCGACCTCTGACTCAACTACTGAAGCATCATATTATTGCAACCCTGGCTATGTGATGTTTGATTTCAAAGGGGAGATCGTAGACAAGTTTGTGATGAAGTGTGATCTAAGTGGTAGCTGGTCGTCGAACAGCCCTACTTGTTGTGAGTTGCGTTTAAAGTTCAGCACTTCATAAAGTCAAAAAAATGAAATCGTGACGCAGTGGTTTGGGAGTTGGAGCAATCAAATCCTTCTCCCTGCCTCTACATGTAGAAGGATTTGAGTTTGGTGATCCCAAATTCATCTCCCCCATGCAGTGTAAATATCTAACTGGTAACTGAGAGGTTTCAAGTTCAAATTCTGTTCCCTGCTAGCCAGAGTGTGAACAGGCTTCCTAATCGATCATTGGGCAAAGAGAAAGCGGGAAGAAAAAAAGGAGGGGAGGGGAGGATGGGAGAGAAAATGGGGAGGCCGTACAATGGGTGCTTAACGTATGGCCCTCAAAATATAACAACACACAAGAACAAAGCCATAAAGGTGTTTCTTATGACATCCGTTTACAGAATTTCTCAGCTACTATTCATTTTCTTGGGAAGTCTTAGGCATGTGAGTGTGCTTTTAAATGCTGTTCACATCAGAAATAATCGAAAAGCTTACTACATGTATTTCAACAATGAGTCTTTGTTTGTGCCACCTACTAGTGTTGCGTTAAATTTGGCTATACCATAAACTGAAGCTGCATGTTTACTTTGTGTTTAACTAAGCTTGTTCTCTCTTACAGTGAACACTTGCTATCCACCTGATAGTTCACTTGCTCATGGCTATATTCTCTCAAGGGTTAAACAGTATATCTTTGAAGGTCAATATATTTACCCAGAAGGTACGGTGGTCACTTTTGCCTGTGATGCCCTGTACAAACTTCCAGAAAATACAGGACAGAGGACGTGTCTAAACTCTGGGTTATGGTCTGGAAGACGTCCTCACTGTGGTATGTCAGCTTTGCATGTACAGTGTATGCAGTGTCAATTTATATGATATGATTCAAATATGCCAAATTGTTCCCAAATGTTTATTTTTTTATGTTTTTTATGTTTTTATTTTTTAGTTTTTATTGCAATAACATTAAATTACATACAAAAATTTCGATTGGTTCTTGCTTACAATCTATTACAGGACAGATGCATAGATGACTTTGCTAGCAATTTTTTTTTCGTTTTTTTTTTTTTTTATTATGTAATATAAGTAGATTCCATGTTGCCGTGCTTCTGTTCAGTAATAGATCACAGAAGATGTCAAGTTGTGATAAGAACATCAGTGACGCACTGGCCTAACGGCCCTGGACACATTTTGATGTCATCTGTGATATACATGTGTTACTGGAATACACAACATGGAATCTATTTGTGAAATATACTAAGTACAGTTCTGAGTTGCTCAATTCACCCTCAAGCTATTTTGATAGTATGTGATGAACCTTGTGTACCCGACCACCACAGCTCTTCCTAAGACCTTTATTTAATACTTGTTACATGTACATGTACTTGTGGAATTTGTTGGTGAAGTACACCATCAGCATTCTTGGTGGTGAATAACTCTTATGCATGATGATATCAGAATAGCAAAAATCACCGCCAAGCATCGGTTTCAAAATGGTAATTGAACATTTTTATCATGAGCAAATTTCCAAAGCAGCAGAGCTGAACCACATAAAAACAATTTCGTACAAACGTGGCTTGGTGGTGAATTTTGAGCATGTGACGTAATCATGGGATAAGATCTTTTCAACTGTACATGTAGTTTGATGCAACTACAAAGTATTACTGACAGTGTGCTATTAGTATAGGTATTTCTTACATGTAATTGTAAATAATTATGTCAAAAAGCTCAGACTTAATAATTTGAAGGCTAGTGAACTTTTGCTACTTAAATGTACATACTACATGTAAAGATGTGTATTTTTGTCTCATAATAGTTCGAAGTGCTTGTAGAGACCCCGGTGGCATATCAAATGGCTATGGTACATCGAACAACACCGATTCGTCACAATTCCCTATATGGACATTGGTGACTTTTCAATGCAATACTGGTTATAAGCTAGTGGGCTCAAGGCAGCGCCAGTGCAGGGCAGATGGGAATTGGTCCGAGAGACAAAATCCAACATGTGAAGGTAAGAAACATGATTATAACACTCTTCCATTTGCATTTAAAGATGATTTCCAGTCCGTACTGCGCACACTCGAGGGTTTGTTTACGTTTTTTTGTTTTGTTTCATGTAAGACATCACGAAATATTAACATTTCGCAACTACTTACATGAAGTAAATTCAAAGTTTCATGTCAACCACCATTATGGCTGCGAAGCTCTATGTTTTGTTCTTTCTCATATCACTTGATGAAAGAACTTTGCAGCTGTAAAAATCATTGAAGCTGTTGGAAAAAGAATTTGAAAGGCCTCAAAGATATAAGGTATGTACATGTGGCTTGTGACAAATAACATCGATTCACATTCCATCAAGTGAGGCTTATGATGTTTGCAAACATAAGGGTGCTGAGACTTTCCAGTACGGACTGGAATTAAGCTGCAGTGAAGACAGTATAAACATGCTTTTGTCCCTTTCACGCACACGTGTTTCCAACAAGACCTATCCCATAGTACTTGTCATATTCAGCCACAGGCAGCCCAACAGACACTACAGAACACACCATTGTTTACGTACATGTGTGTGAGTGAGCTCATGGAATGTTTAAGGTTCCTCGATACAGTCGTGCTAAACCATACCAAACATTTTCAATGAGCTTTTTAAAAGGCTTCCCTTGCTAATTAATAGTGGTAACAGGACTGAGTGGTGTCCAATTCGGTCTGTGATCATACGAGTGATGAACAAAATCGAACGACCGTGAAATGGGAGTCCGATTTGTTCAATCTCAGGTATGACGAATGGTTTGGATAATAGCAATGATGATATATACCTTTAAAGAAACACATGTCACTCTCAAGTTTAGAATTGAACAGATAGTTTTAACTTAACGTGCGTTAATGTGGCTTCAATATGGGCTTCTCCCATAATACAGTATGTATAGTGCTGTTTTGATGTCGAGAGCAAACTCCACAAGTTAAACACTTTAATTTCAAACTTTCTGTTTAATTTTTGTATTACTATTGCAGTTGTCTTAATTACTGGCACTGTTATTGTAATTTGTCACTGTTTATATCCTGGCGTACACTTTGTTCCTCACTGCAGATGGCAAAAGCACCGGCTGAAACATGTTTGTTAAACTTGAGAGTGCTGTGTTTTTCTTTGATCTTGATGTAGTCCACTAAGTATTTTGTATTTTTTCCAATAGTGATTACAACCTCATTTCTCTTTGTAGCGTGATCTGAAGTACATGTAGACTAATAGTTTCGTAATGTACATGCTACACTACCCAACCCATTTTTTTTTTTCTTGGAAGCCTCTCTCCACAGCCAGAGGCATGCAAGAAAGTAACACTACTATACTATGCATTTTTGTTGAAATTATGGCGTTTTTCCAAGTCGCATTGTTGTTCAGGTTACTGAACTGCGAATTATTCTCCTTAAAATGTTTAACAGTAATTGGTCCGAGTGGGGTACAATTCAAGGGGTAATTGGGTGAGTTATTTCAGAGTACAATTCAGGGGGTAATCGCGCGAGTTCTCTCCATATCGCTGATATGAAATTGCGAGCTAATTGACTAATTAATAGTAGGAAAAAAAAAACTTGGAAAGTCAGCTTCTTTTGGGCGTAAAAGTGGGTAGTAACTTCCATCAATTTTGCACACAGTGCACATTTTCCAACATTGGTTAGGGTGGATGGGGGATACGGGATCCAGCTCAAGTGTCCCAACTACTCTTGTCTGGGATTGTAGATACACCGCAGGGAGAATTCTAGAACAACTCAAAACCAAACCAAACAAATACAAAATCACTAACGAGAAAAATAGTTTAGTATTATCCCGGCAATTCTTCCAACTGAACGAGGGTACTGATGACATCTTGAATTTCAAATGACTGCAGTGATCGAAAGGTAGAAAATTCTTTTGCAGCATCTACTTTGAAATGCAAAAAACCCCAACATCTTGACCATGGCAGATATGATTCTAATGGTAGAACCTCCTATAAGCTGAATGAAGTTATTACCGCGGTGTGTAACCCTGGCTTTTATTTGTGGGGGGAGGCGACAAAAACGTGCTGCGGTTTGGACGATGGCGCAAGCGCATGGCTTCCTAAGAGTTGGCAGTGTTCAGATTCCATGGGTCAGGTCTCTGACACTCGTGTCACTCAGTGTCTAAAGCCCGACATGTACGATGAAAAGTGCACAGAGATTGGACGTCATGCAGTTATCCTCAACGATAAGATGTCCTGTCAAGCCGCAAGTGAAGGTAGGTAGCACTTGCTGTCAAATTCAGGGTTGTTGCCTATTTCCTTCGTGGCTGTTAAGCTTAGTTTTCACTATAGCGGCGCAAGCACAAGCGCAAGCGCAAGC